TCGTAGATTATGATTATTTGTTCATCTGGAGCAAATATATCGCTATAACCCTATCGCTAGGGATTCAAATATTCAATCAAACATATGTATATGTAATCAATTACAAGATTCATCCATCGGACAGTATGTTTATAAATGTGACTGAGTAGCCCAATACTATCTCTTTAAATTTGTCGGCAACACTACTTTAACATTGTTCTAATAACATCCTGTCGATGTCTTTGATGTATTGGATCAGATCTATTTATAGAATCATTGAGTTCCGTTTTAGTGTCATGAGGTAAAATGTAGTCAGATCTGTCTGCATCAGTGAGAGAGTTACGACGGGAAAAGTAAAGTGTCAGTGTATGCACTGTGTTTTCCTTGTTTTGGTTTCCTTGGTTAACTCTGGGATATTTTTAGGTGAGATCTTTTCAATTTTTAAAGTTTTTATATTTATCATTAATTTTCTCATAGCTTTTGATATACGAATCAAAGTTTGCCTGTAAAGTTGATTCATTCCATAAATATCTCGTGAATATATATTTTTGAATTGATTTACCATACAAAGAATTACAATAATTTCATGCAATTACTACCAACAATATTATCTTCTCTTTTATATTGATTTCTTATTTCTCTCAAAATTAAAATGTAATCTCTATATAGTGGAGTTTGAAAATTGCCTTCAAAAACCTGATTTTAGTGCCTATTTCCTTTTTACCTTCTTTGTTCGTAAAAGTAATTTTATCTTAAGCTGGTATGGTGTGGAAGAACATGTTTTGAGGATATTCAAACCAGACTTTTAGAATAGCAGTTTTGGTCTAAATTTCTTTTTTAATTTCTTTTCTTCTTCTGGTAGAAACGGTCTAGCACTTTCTGCTTTTGGATATTCACTGTGTAAATCTGACATAGCAGAAGCATACAAACCGTTGGCATCAAATGCCATTAGTTTAGAAATGTCTCGTTTATATTTTTTCAAGTTTTGAAGTAACCTCTGTTTTATCTTTATTTCTTTTACTATACTCTTTGAATAAATCAATTATGTTATCACTGTTGCGTTTTGTATATTCCTTCATTACGTTACAAATTTTATCTGTCGAAAATGATTTTCTATTTGCCGAAAACTCTTCCTCCTATAATAGATTGTGTGATAAAATATCTTATAAAAGGGTGCGTATGTGAGTAAACTTTTCCTATATTCTGTTTTTCGGTATGTTTCGAAAAAGGTTTGTCCTTTCGTCATTTATTCGTTATGATACAAATGATACCAACCTTTTAAAGATAGAGATGGAATACAACTTCTTTCTTTCATAACTTTGTGTCTTAAAGCGCGTCTTAAAGATTCCCAATTATTTTCGGTATATTTAGCAATATCTACATCCATGATCTTTCTGAAATTCATTGGTAGATTAGATGAATTCCCAATGCCACCAAACTAGATTTTTCATGTTGATAGGAACATATGAAATTAATATTGTGTAGATAATTAGAGTTACCTGTTATTTTTTTCTGTCTCTTTCATTTTTTCTGTAAAAGTACGATCCAGTCATCAAAACCGCTACCGCTATGAAAAAGCAAAGTTAATCTTTTTCTATCATATTGACTTAAATATTGAAACATTTGATCTATACAATCTTTACCCACAAATATTTCTACTATATTCATTAGAAGATTATAAAAATTTTCGGGAATATTATCGATAGGATTTAATTCTGGAAAGTTCTGTATCGTTTCAAACTGTTTTCTTAGTTTTTCCAAATAAATTAACGTACAGGGAAAAGGAATTGCTTTGTGCGTTTCACTTTCTGTAGATGTTTCACAATCCCAAGCGAACAAAAAATCATTAATCATACTTGAAATCACGTTTGGTGATAAACTATAAGATGGAAATTGTTTAATATCTAAAATAGGGCTCCCATAAATTTTTCCATTACGTATTATTTTTTCTTTATCTGATATAATTATTTCACGTTTAAAAATAAAAAATTCTACAGATATTTACGATATTTCTTCTTTTGAATCATCGATCTTGTTTAGATGATCTGAAAATTTCATAGGAAAAATAATTTCAATTAGATCTTTTCCTCGGAGAGAAAATGATTCTATTTTTAAATTTCGTTATTAATCGTAGTTATCTGTTGTTGAATAACACTATCATCCATTGTTTGCTGTTGAATATAGGTTTTAATCTCGCTATCATCAATATTTTGTATTTGTTGTTGAATATAGGTTTTAATTTCACTATCATCAATATTTTGTATTTGTTGTTTAATATTTGTTAGTTCTTTTTGTAATTCAGAGTCAAATTTAGTTTCTAGGGCAGTTAATTCCTGTTGAAATGTATCCTCATTTTTACCTGGAGCAGCAATGTTATATATTAATTGTTGAACATGTATTTTTTGTTTTGCGATCATATCACCTTGAAGTGTGTCTCCAATTTGATCCACAAAATAAGGTTTTGCTTTCTTTATCCATGCTGTAGTGTTTGTTTTTTAGTATCTAAAGGTAAAAAAACCTAAACCAAACTTATTCGCCATTGTTATTAAGTTAATTTCTTCAAACTATTTTCCTAAACTCAACTGATATAAAACCCAAAGTGAAAGTTGTCCACAAAACCTTTGAACTGGTATTTGAACTTGAAATGTAGAACATTTAAGTGGTTGATTAGTCAATTTCATTAGCTCTTCAGTTGGTTATTTTAAGAGTCTTTGTATAAAGCAGGGGAAAAGCAGCGGGACATTTGGGCGATTTTCGGAAATTAGCTAAAATGTCTAAAAATGGCTGACATCGAAATCTCTAAGAATTGCCCAATTCAAAAAAACACATAGAATCAAAATCAGAAACACTGGACAATTTGTGAAACCCTACATATGCGAGGTAAATTAATTCAGAGAAAGAAAAGTCCCCTTTGACCCAATTACAACTTGTCCAGGCCAAAAATTCAGGGCTGGAAAATGTTGCAATAAAGATCTTTTGGTTAATTATTTTTGTTTTTAGGGTTGGAGAAACAATCTAGTGGTGGACGTTGAAGAGGCATTTGCGTCAAGGCGTACAACTCGTGCCTAGAGACTGGGTAATTTCAACAGGTAGTGTGTAATCCGAAGATCGAAAATCGCAGACCTGTATAATCCGAAGATCGCAGACCCCAACAAGAATCCGCAGACACCTTATACTATATTCGGCAGACCCAACTAGAATTGAAACCTGGACCTTCAGGTTAGCGAGCAATGTACCTTTCATCTATTTTGAACCCTTCTCATTCCCAATAGCCAAGGATGTCAACCCACAAAGCTTCATGAAGCATACTATGACAGACTTCCATATCGCTTATTATACAATACACACCTCTGGGTGTCTAGATGACCTCGTCTCCAAGTCTAATTTGATTCAGAAAAGCAGGACGTAAAACTCCATTCATTTCATTCAAGTGTGAAAATTAAAAAAAACTGAAGCTTTTGACGAGGATCTGTGGAATATAGTATATGGGGTCTGCGGATTCTAGTTGGGTCTGCGGAATATAGTATAGGAGGTCTGTGGATTCTAGTTGGGGTCTGTGGGTTCTAAACAAGCATTGCTGAACAAATCATTGTCCCGCCGATTAGTCTGTGTCTGTATGGGTACTTTGATGACTTCGATAATGTATTTTTTTAAATAAAGCGCGGAAGCCAAAGGTCTAAGTTCAATCAAATGGAATTTGAATTTTATAATGGCGTGGTCATTTAGTGACGTAGCTAATCCGCGATTCGGTCACGTTCTATACCCCTTGATTGTGTATGAACGGTTGGTTGGTGGCTATTGCAGTCAAGGTATTGTAATAGCTTGACAGTGTGAAGATGATAACGGATCTTCTCTATTAAACAAATGAAGAAAGCTAGACAGAAAAAAATACGATTCTGTTTTTAGAAATTAAAACGTAGCCCTTGGCCAACCGCTTATAAAATGTTAACACAACATGTTACAGTATAAAAAAGGAAAGAAAATACTTTGTACATTCATTTTTAAAGTTAAATCTAAGAGGTTTTGTAGACAGGATTTTAGCCCTGTATGTGTTCTTTAAATCTTTTAAACCACGCCTATTTCCTAATCGACAACAATATCTGTATTTTCCAGAAAACTGTGATGATGCAACTATCTTCAGTATCATTTGACTTGAATTGTGGTTGAATCCTTAGTAATAAGTAACACGCAGCCTAAGCTTATCAGCACTTAATTTTTGATAAAAAAAACGGTAATGGCTGGAGCCGGCGGTAAAACCGAAAACCCTATTGTATCGGTTATGATGTTATCGGTTACAGGTTGTCAAGATTTCGGTTAACCAATCCTCATAGCCGACGATTTCGTAAATTACCGTCTGTTACCGAACGTTTCCACGTTTTACAGACAATAAAGTCAAGATCTTTCAAGTCATTCACGGGATATGTTACACACAACTTGTCGACTTGTTGCTTGGTACAACTAAAACATTTTTACCGACAATCACACTCTTACAGAAACCAGTGCATGTTCCTTTTTCCATTGATAATCTGCAAATTCATACAAAATGACGTCTAATGCCAAAATAATAATAGAACTACTGTTGAATTATATTTACCAGGTTTATTTATGTTAAAAAATAAACTTACAGGAAAACCCGATCCAAAGAAGGCTTTAGAAATGTCAGTTTTATGTGAGATCCTCCCCGAAGGAATGTGAGAAGAATCGAATCAGAATCGTATATGTTTCTTCTTATTTATAGGTATAGTTTTACGTCTCATTTAAATTTTGCACCTGACAAGGGGAAATGTTTCTCATGATGATGTGCAACATTCGGCAATGATCGGCGGTTTCCGATGAATCTGACTCGTTAATGAATGGTGAATTTCGCTGCGTTTTCTTGGGTGAGACTCTTCGGCAGCATTTCGTTTTCTTACATTTGTGTAGTATGTTTAGTAAAAAGACTATAGCATATTATTGGAGTCACTATAGTAAATATCACTTTCAACACACGAAAGGATACCAGTGTTGTGTGAATTCATGTTTTATGAAGAGGGTGTTACTTCGTTCGTTTCTTGGTCTGAGAGGACGGAAATAGATGTTGTTTTCTTACTCGAATCAACGTACACGTTCTGTTTCTTGACTTTCCCACAACAGGGAAACATTTCACAATACATATCCCTAAACTTGGAATTTGTGGCAACATAGATCACAAAATTGATAGAGGAATTCAACACTTCAAGCCACAAACTGACAATCAAGGCCATGGTGTAGCCATTATTTCTGAAGAAGGGAAAGTTATACTCTGGATCCAAATTTTGAATGAGGAATACTGTTGTCCCAGGAGCAGAACTAATGAAAAACACTACAGATACCATGATCAGAGTTCTGGTTATCTTCAACTCCTTTGACGAAATCATTGATTCGCTTCCTGTTTTAAGATGTTTTCGTTGTCTGGCATGGTGCCACAGACCGGCTATGATTATCAGGTTGGCTAAACTCACAATAAAGATAGGCATATATCTCAAAATCGTCATATTGGCGTTGTATAAATTGGTAAACAGTATCCGATCTTTGCCCAAATCGGTGAGCACCAAAGTCACTTTATAATCTGTTGAGTTAGGAAAATAAACATGTGCGGCTTCGTATTCAAATATCTGGGTAACCATAATCGTTGCTGGTATAAAGTAACTCAAGAAAATACACACTAATGTTACCTTCTTTGTCCAGATCATCTTCACCTTTAAAGGCATGGTAACAGCTATCAGGCGTTCTAAAGTGATGCACACTGTCAGCATGGCCGAGATGCGACCCCAGACGTGGTATAGATATGCTCCAAAATATGGGAAGGCATCGTTGATGAGGTTATTCCATTCTTGTTTATAAAAATAAGTCATTATATGTGAGAAACTATGACAAAATGTGGCCAACAAATGCATTGCATCGGTAATGGACAATGCCAATAAAATAAGATTTTGAGTCGTTCTCATGGTTTTTCTAATCAATATTAAGAAAGAGCTGATATTACCACCAATTCCAAACAAAGCTGTCAAAGGATTCAGAACTACATAGAAGGCGAATCTCGCATCGTCCAGTTGTTTCTCTGTTAACACAAAATACCCTTCTGGATAAAATTGAAAAGCTGGTGCAGCTGACTGCGTTATGTTTTGTGTATCTAAAATTAAAGATTTTTTAAGATAAGGTCTCTTATAGATTAAGATTAAGCATAAACCACTTAAAAGGTAAAAGGAAATGAATAGATTTAAAGAATTAAACTGTCTTGCATTCAGATGTCTGTCTTGTCAAAACATCTTTTAAAACGAGTTTCGAAACAGCCTCCAAAGGGGCGCACATTGTAAAATGTGTCTACCATACATCTGGACGTAGATATAGATAAGATAAATATAAGACTTTGGATCATACGTTTATGTCTGTATACTTTATGACTATTGGCAATAATGTATGAGAGAGAGGCAGGAGCATTCTTATATATACATGGGCTTCATGCGTGCGTTCATGTATTTGCCAATCAAGTCGTATAAATTAAATAAATTAAATGAATCAAATGAATCAAATGAATAGATGAATGAATAAATAAAAAAAATAAATAAATGAATAAAAAAATAAAAAAATAAAAAAATGAAATGAATAATTAAGTACATGTATTCGCAAATTCGAAAATTATAAATATACATATATTTACCGTTCATAATGATAAAATTAGCTCCAAGTTTTTGTGTCTTGTTGTGGTTTTCTTATCAAATGAAGATGGTTCAGCTCTGTACCGTCTTTACCGAAACCTCTCAAAAAATCAATAATTGACAGAATACTTTAAAAACTATTTTTCACGATTTTGAGATGAATTGATTTTATGTAGGTTATAACTTGGGTTTATTTTTCTCTCATACTTAACCAACTGTCGAGAAACACTCTTACACCTGCTTACATGTGATTATATGGCAATAAAATTGCTTGAATAATTTTCGTACCTGAGCTTATCAAATCGAATCTTCTATTGATTTGTAAAACGTATTAAAACAATGTGACTTCAAGGCAATTCCGTTAATCAAAATCTCTAAAAGTTGTATAGTAGTGGACTCCTCCAACGAAAAGTACAATCGGGTTTTTCGAAAAAAATAAGCATCTTCTACCCGCCACTACTATAGGTTAAAATTATGAGACAAAATCAGATCAATTTATGCCTGACCAAACAAATCAAATAACAAACCAAGTGTGTAACGGTAATTTTCTGTAAGTTACGAAGTTCGTAATTACTTTGGGCAGATGAGATAATCTTCGGCGAATCCATTAAAAATGTTATTTATGGCGAATGAGACTTTTTAGTAAAATATTATCCTTTCAGAATATTTCAAACTGATTTTAGTATTCATAAATCTCATTAGTCGGTGCACTTAAATATTAATATTAAACACTATATAATTAGGCAGTATATCTCTGACAATTAATAATCTAAATTTACAAAGAGACGTAAATACTGTCAAAATATCGATCAAGGATTGGTAAAATATGCTTGTTTCGACTTATTCTTGACCAAACGTTTTGATATTGATCCTTCTTTAATTATCCGTAATCATGTACCACTTGATTGAGGTATAATTATGAAAGATTATTTCAGGTGACCAGCCGTGTGCAATTCCGATCTTGGCTATATAATATAAGGCCTATATTAAAGAAGTTCTGAATACATCAAGGGCACAATAATGTCTTGTAGTTACGGTACCAGCCCCCAGGTGATTTGGGGTACAAAATATGGGTCAGATTGACTCAACTGTCGGGGTTGTGATTCAAAATGCGGCAGCTCTATGGAAGTTTTGTGTCAATTTTCACCTCGGAATTACTCAGCACTGGCTGAATGTAAAACACTTTGTTGATTTTGATTTTTCCAAGGTTATTGGTCGTGATTGAAGTATTATTTTTATAAGAAATCCATTAAAATACTGTTTGATTGCTTTCTCTTCAGTATAATTCATTTAGTCACCAGTCATTTTTTCACACTAATTATACATTTTATTGAAAACAAGTAATGAGAGGCCGTGTATTATGAAATTAAAAGGGCGTTCAATGATGTCATTGTTTTTTATAATTATTGATATTTGACAAATTTTTAACAATTGATGAACATTGTCTTTAATACTCGGCATTATCTGATTGTTTCCGCAAATGTGAATATATCTCGTCGATGGTTTGCTTTGTTGTGTTTGAATAGGAATAGTTAAGAAGGTTTTTGTATGCACTGCATCTGGAATACCTCAATCTAAATAAAATTAGATAAATTAGATTAGATCAATTATCAGATCAAATTTTAGTTTTGGCTAATCAAGTTAATTTGGATTCGCATTTCTTAAAAATTCAAAATTTTCAACTATTCAATTTGATTTGATTCGCAAATCGTCGTTATAAATTACAATTTTGCCTAGTCAGAGGAAATATTGGATCGCAAAAGGGATCATTTGGAATAGCTAAATGCTATGAGATACCGTGTAAATTGATACCTGACACTTTTATGCTATTTGAAGGAGTATATTTCAATATTATTACATTTTTACAATTAGAAATTTCATATATCCACAAAATATTGTAATTTTGGGCCATATACGAAAATGCATTCATAATAGTTCCTTCCAATCGAACGTTCATTATCGCATATATAATCCATAAAAAATTGTTGGAATTGTTTTTCCATAATTGGTTCTCGAATACTTTGTCAAGGTTTTTTAAGAATAATGTAGTGCAATAATCGGGTGTGACTATATATGTAATTCATGTGATATAAAAACTTTTGCTTTGCTTCTTGGAAAACTATTCTTTTTTACAAAGGAGAATTGGATTGGATGTGAATGGTGGGATAACTTTGCAAATCGACAAACTGATCACAGAAGCAAAATAAAATGAATGGAGTTTTATGTCCATGCGGTGTAAAATTTTGCCAGGACTTTTTCGATTTCCAAGAAGACCGAAGTTGCTATAAATTCTTATTTATGACACAGGCTGTACTTAGTGCAGTAGTCTAGGTTTATGGACACGATTTATTTCATTTAATATTATAGATGATTCTGCAACCATATTGACAATTTATTTATTTCTATGGATTCATTCTGAACAGTTCCAACCGCATATGAAGAATCTTTACAAGATAGCTAGTTTAATAATTTACCGACATCTTTACAAGCGACACTGTCTTTTCTTGAAATATAGCCGATTAAGCCTTTACCAATGAGAACACTCGGAACACGTTTTGACATTATTGATACCATATTTGTAAGACAATATTCTGTAATCTTAATGGAATATCATAAAAATTATCTAAAACTTTCACCTGGTTCACTTAATAGCTCTCAATTATGATTTAGTGCTTTTGCTTCTTAACATTGAACAATGTGAAAGCTTTTATTCCATATTCAAGATGTCATATTTCAATCAATATATTTGATATTACCGCCATTATTATGATCACTCATTTACCAAGAAGAAATCTATTCAAGTCTTTGAATGGAATTTAGCTGTGTCTATAAATCTATTCAACATTAAAATTAAAACGTTCACTTGGCATCATAATGTGGCTAACAGTGGCCGACTCTCTGCATGGCCAAAACAAGGCGTACGATTTCATCAGGTGCTTCGCGGCATATATTGCCAACAGTTGAATGGAAGACAGTAATTGGATTCAATTAATCCATATTTAATTAATAAATTGACACTTGTATTTTTTAAAAGAAAAAGTTTATTTAAATAAATCTTATGTACAGTACATATTTTTTACACATTTATAGGTTAGTATATAGTCTTGATCTGAACATAAAGAAAAAAAATTGAACATTTGTTTTGTACAGTAGAGAGAAATGATAATGATAAGATAGGTGGGAGATAGAGAAGTAGAGAATATGGCGAGAAAATGTAGGGTGAAAAAAGTGTGAGCCTAATTTTGTGTTGAATTCGTAAGCTACTTGAAATAAATATACAGTGCCAAAGACAATTTTAATAAGGTTTTGCATCTCTGAAATCCATCCCTTGTACAGTTTCGTACTTGTAACACCAACCAAACCAACTGAAAAATAATTAACAATAATTACAATTAACATAACCGCTAAATTTGGATTTTCAATCTAGAAACTGCACTTAAGTAGAAAATAACCTTAAAAATTGAACGCTATGTCTATTCATAATAACTTTTCACAACAAATGACAATAAGAATTTCGAAAGTGATATTTTACGCCCAGTGGCGGCGTCAGTGAGGGTACAACGGGGGTGGGGAATTTGCACCTCTATAAAATGGTTTGCACCTGCATTTATACCACCACTTTATTTTTTAACAAATTCAAAGATAGGATTTTAATATGTTTTTGCCCCAAAATATGTGTCAGAATGCCCCAAATCATTTTAAGGCAATTTTTCGAAACTGTTCTTGGGAGAACCCTCTTAGCTCTATGATGCAACCATTACACCTCCACATTTCATATTGAGCCCCGATTGAGTCAGTGGCGCCGCCACTGTTTACGTCAATGTTTTTCTTGGCATAATTGCAATGGATATTGTTTCTGATATTGCTGAGGTCGAGGGTTAATGCTGGGGTCTAAACTTCCCCAAGGCAAGAAATAATTTGATTCCACGGTCAGTGCTTTCGAAAGTCGTTCGTTCGGTGTCGGCTTTCAACCTGTATAGACAACCCTTGCTGCTGAGTATGGTGATTGGACGGTTTTCTTTTCATGAGGAGGGTAACAACAATGTTCGCGATGATGATGATGATGATGATAATGAGAGTAATGAAAAGCTGCGGATGAAGATTGTGCTTATGATGATAGTGATGATTAGGCTGGTGATTAGTGATAATTATGAAGATGATGTTGATGATGAGGATGATAATTGTGCTACGGATGTTGATGTCGATAAGGATGTTGATGAGATGAGGATCAAGTTGACGAAAAAGATTGGAAAATTACCTTCTATCAACACATATTTTCTTAGAAGTTTGGTGAATGCATTCTATGCCCAGAAGATTAAAAAACATTGATCCAACGCTATCAGCAGTTTCATTCTGTACGTTTTTCAAACAGGCATGGAAACTGTCGTCGCATGTGCAAATTTTTCTGTAAAAATAAGAATGTGACATAAAGTACCATTGTCGTGAAGAAAAAAATTCACATACCAGATTTATAACAAGATCATGGTTATAATCAAAACAATTTCTGCAACTGAATATTAAACTAATCCATTACATTTAATCGAAAACGGCACGAACATCTAGATTGTGATAATCGAGAAAAACACTTACTTATACCAAATTGCATAATTGGTTAAACCATACGCAGTGGCAAAAGGAGCAATAGTTGGACCTGCACAAGTATCATGTGACCGACAACATTTATCAGTTTCAACTTGTTCTCCCAAATCATCAAAATTAGCTGCTGAATTTCCAGTTCCGCACCATTTTGTCCCTGAATTAAGATATTAAAGAGGTTTTCCGTCTTATTTCCAAAGACCGTGAAACGTCTGTGCGAATGAAAATTAAAATTGTACTGGTTAAAATATGTACTTATACAATGCTCGTCTCAAAATATCACCGAGGGGTTATGAGTTAAATGGTTGTTCTTTAACCTTTGTGTCGGGGGTATCAATAACCGACATAAAGCGACTTTTAAGAGAATTGTGACTACTTTAATTTACACGAATTTTTATATCGTTCTCTATCATTGCACACGTCTATTTTACTGGTTGCCACAAGAGTCTGTTTATGGTTATCAGAGGACTCGTAAAAGTGGAAGAAAGCACAGTTTAATTTTTTACCTGGATAAATAATAAATCTTTTTTTTCTTTTTAAAACTTGATGATGTTGTCCCGTAGAAACATTTCTATTCATTTCTTCACATGTTTGAATATGTTTTTCCATTTCACCAGCGCTGACTATTTGAACGCCGACAGAAGTACTTATAATTAGTTCATGGATATATTGCCTGAAATGAAATTTATAAAATTAGACATTTGGGCAATAACCATGGCAGGGGCCTATTATGACCATCTTGGCATGGGGGTCTAAGTTTTACCGACGAACATGCATACGAAATCCATCGTTTTAGTGATGGTTATGATGTTATCGGTAAACTGTTCGTCTACCAAATAACTAGTCGACAAGTTGTGTGTAACATTTCCCAATGACTTTAATGATGCATTCTCGCCACAATTTCTAACTCGTTGATTGTACATTGTGACATCACTCAAAATTCTTCAATTTGTTGATATCACTACATTTGAGTAAATTTGCCTGTTGGTTGGTCACAATAACTGTATGTGTTAATGATGTTACTATATATAAAATGAAATTGTATATCTTACCTGTCTCCATGAACAAAACACCACGTAACATTATCAACAACTTCAAATTCTACAGCCCGCTGTAAATCAAAGTAAAACGTGGATTTGGTTGTTGGTGTGCCTGAAATAGATTATACAATCATTAGTTGAAAGGCAATGATTTGGGGCTTGAATATATGTAAAAGTTTTCAGAACTAGAACTTCACGAAAATGGTATAATCCCCTCAAATATATAATACCTCAAACTAAAAATTTCACTTTCTTTCTTATAATATCATATCTTTTCAATAAATGGCGGATATTATCTTTCAAACCCGTATTGATTTGAAATTGTGGACATACATTGATTTATAAGCTCACATTTCAAAGGTGAGCTGTTAACACATTAACTGATTAGCTCGTTAAATATTTCCTCTGTCTGAGAATAAGGTACTCGAAATATACAACATCAATATCTCAAATAAACATAAAATATATACAATGTATCTTATAGTATATAATACTTATTCAAAATATACAATATCAATATCTCAAATAAACATAAAATATATACAATGTATCTTATAGTATATAATACTTATTCAAAATATACAATATCAATATCTCAAATAAACAAAAAATATACAATGTATCTTATAGCATATTATACTTACTCAAAATATACAATATCAATATCTCAAATAAACATAAAATATACAATGTATCTTATAGTATATTATACTTACTCAAAATATACAATATCAATATCTCAAATAAACATAAAATATACAATGTATCTTATAGTATATTATACTTACTCAAAATATACAATATCAATATCTCAAATAAACATAAAATATACAATATCAATATCTCAAATAAACATAAAATATACAATTTATCTTATAGTATATTATACTTACTCAAAATATACAACATCAATATCTCAAATAAACAAAAAATATACAATGTATCTTATAGTAAATTATACTAACTCAAAATATACAATATCAATATCTCAAATAAACATAAAATATACAATATCAATATCTCAAATAAACATAAAATATACAATTTATCTTATAGTATATTATACTTATTCAAAATATACAATATCAATATCTCAAATAAACATAAAATATACAATGTATCTTATAGTATATTATACTTACTCAAAATATAAAATATCAATATCTCAAATAAATATAAAATATACAATGTATCTTATAGCAAATTATACTAACTCAAAATATACAATATCAATATCTTGTAGTGTATGTTATACTTTCTCAAAATATGCAATATCAATATCTTATAGTATATTATACTTATTCAAAATATACAATATGAATATCACATAGTCTAATATACTTATTCAAAATATACAATATCAATATCTTATTATAATTCATATAAAAATATTCATATATTACAACATAACATTAGACTGGTTTTCTTGTAGAAGGTTGGCTTGGGGGGAGTAAATGTGTATATTGTAGACAATACCTAGAATAAAACATAAACTCAAACAAAATACGATAACTTGAAACATTTTGAATTTAAACCGGCTAACTGTAAGGCTATTTAGATTAATTCTAAAGGTGAGACTGGATGAGAATGTATAAAATCTGCTAATCTGTTCTCTGGGAGTGGAAGTACATCATTTTTGTTGATTGAAAGTGAGATATAGTGAGATAATCTCAACTTCATCTTGAACGGTATTTAAACTGCTATAGGCAGTACGTTTTATGTACTTTGTTAAAATATCATAACCTTTCTTTAAGATTCGACTTATTAATTCGAGGAAGAGATTCGATATGGTTGAGGACTGCGTTCGTGCGTATTATTTCCCTGCATGAACCATATGTAGTTTAGAATGACAAATCTTTTAATATATACTTTTTAACAACTATACATGTTGCCCTGTAAAAGTAGCGTATCTTTTTTTAAGTTTTTGTTTTTAAGTTTATGTGAACTGGAATATCATAAAATTAATTAAGGATCTTAAATTGACTTGAATTGTATAGATACCTTTATAATTATTATTTAACTATTCGAAATTTTCGAACAGTCCAAAACTACATGTATTGGTTGACTATTCGCCAACATCCTTAGAGGGACAGCTGTGCCATTTCGCCAATCAGTAATACTGTTCACAGTCTACCGTCGAAAATTAAAAAGAGGATTTTTTCAACACTGCCATATAGAAAAGACATCTATAGAAATAGGAGGAGAAATTCCAAGGTATTTTTGAAGGAATTATGAGATTTTCATACATTTCCAGTACTTCTGAATCCTCTTGACCCAAAATTGCACAACCGTCCCTTCAAAAATCTTGTTTCTTGTACTTTGCATGTTTTTTTTCTATTTTTACAGATTACACCGAAAAGATAAAGAGCAAAATGTTACTTTTATTTTTCTCGTATGTATCTGATTTTGAAAATAAAGTTAACAATGTATAGCTTACCTGACGCAAGACAAAAAGTTAAACACAGAATACTGGCGATTAGATACATCTTGATATGTTTCCTTGAACTGACTGAGTATCCTGTAGTTATGCATCATACGAGGATTTGATACCTTATTTATATAATATTGAGTTCCGGTCCCATGGTTTTTAATTATCTATATATATAATGTCTATATTAGGAATGTTGTTCAGATCCGATAATGTTAATTATTGTCTTACGCATTCAAGCCCAAAACATAAATTAAAAAAATTACGGAAGCTAAAATAGGACCACCTTTTTTGAAAGATTAAATAGATATCCGACAATCGACAACTAGCCTCAAAAGAGATTACAGACCTGCTATCAACATTTTCATTGGTTGAGGGATCAATTTCAACCAAGCGGATTCATTATAACTTTTCAAAATATTTCTTTCAAGGGCGTATTTAGGAGGCATGTTCATGGAAACAATACCCGTAACAATTCATAAAATCAAAAGAAAATGTCAAGTTTTGTTTTTTCAAGTTTATCCTATATGCAGGATAATGTTTCATGTCATTCAGTTAAGTCACTTACAGTAACGAACGTCATTGTTCAGTACAAATTTTGAATGCGGAAATGAATTGTCAATTTGACAACATCTCCCCATCGTGGTAAAACCCATCACTTTCGTAAATTATTCCGGGGGCGACTCATATGTAGGATACATTAAATCCGACATTCCAATGACGTCGTTGATTATTCTAACCATTCAAAACCATATTTACATATTTAGTTGGTCTTAAAGAGATCGTAAAGAGGTAATTTAAACTTTTTCAGGCGCACAGATCAATTTGTACCATTCCAATTTTCCACCATTCCAATTTTCCACCAGATTTAATAAATAAATGCTTGAAGACATCACTAATTCGAGAAGGGCCTTTTTGCGATTAGTGACGTCATCAAGCACTGATTTTTTTTTGGTGAAATTGAAGGAACCACAGACTTCGGACTGAAAATTGGAAAGATGCAAATTGATTTATCGATATGCAAATAAATTTATCGATATCCCCGATACACATAATATATTTTAGAAAAGCTCTATACAATCCCTTTAAGAAGGTTAATGCTAATTCGAAAATGCAATGTGGGTATCCCTGATTACCACACAAGTGAAAATAACGCCTTTACTTAAAGATTTATGTGATAAGTTGAATTTATTTTATACCTTGTAAATGTTTCAAATTCAATTAACGAAAGACTGTTGTACAAACGTAATAACTGCATATCTTAAGGTTCGGTAGTTTCAAGCGTTACGAAGTAGAATTAAGAAGAAAAAAAATAATAATACGATATGATTAAAGGGATTGTAAAGAGGTTTTTTATAATTAAGATGGTACAAATTGTAATTTGAAAATGCAGCAATTTGTAGAAGAATCCTCCTTAGTATCCCTGTTTGAATTTTTTTTAACACGGAGCCTTAAAAAGGTAAAATAAAATGCATTCTTGATCCTCCGTAATAGATATTTATGAAAACAGATTGTGATCTCTATAAAATGACAACTGTCACTAAGTTCATCATGTTTATTATGTGTTTGAGTGACAAGTAATGTGATCCTGTCCCCGATAACACCAAGTCATGTGTGACGTCATATATGACAATTATAAAGACGGACATATAGTATTTACCGTTTTTTATTGTTTAGAAATTGGTGCTTATATAGGACAACAACAATTTCGTATCTGCAATTTCGTTTGCTTGAGATTATAAGGCATGCTTGAAGAGTGAAAAAATAAAGAGTATCGAAGCGGCTTATGACAACTACTATCCATTTGGGTCGAATTTTGTAATAATTGTCATGGAAAAGTTAACTGTTTGAATATAATGTCCATGGGGTTAATGACCAGAAATTAATCTCAATGATATATTTATATCTGATGACACCCGAATTAAAACAAATATTGGCATGCCATTTTTGACAGATATGAATTACCTGAGAGCATGTTAAAGTGACAGGTTTATTATTCGTTTGACCTAAGTCTGAAAAACAGGATATTTTTTAGCTAAGCCGGTCACAAATAGTGTTCACAGCTCACTGAAATTTGAGCCTTCAAACCCCTGTCTAGAATTAATCGCGTTAGAATATAAAGGAAAACATAGAAAGATTGAGGTATTTTTAAAGGAATTATGTGATTTTCATACATTTCTAATACTTCTGAAAACTTTTTTAGTTATATATTTATAGTTATACATTCAAAGCCAAATCAACCCCCGAATGGCGAACTTTTCCCTTAAGTGATATACTTTTTGATTATAATTCTATCGACACACAAGATAAATCCGTTTGTGCGTGTTGTTCGGCTTTTGTCGGATTGTCGATCATGACCCATGGATTTTTATTTATGGAATGGTACAAGTAAATTTTCTGTTTGTGATTCAAGATTAAACATGATTTGTCTCTATTCCTTTTTACAAATCAAAGCCAAAGATCTGACCTGCTGGTCCGAGCTACGTTATTAATTGGTTATCAAATGGTGGTCATGGGTTCTAATATCGGTCGTCGTTTGAAAGTGAAAGTCTGGTTACGTTGAATGAATCATCTTCCTCGTTATTCAAGTTTACCCAGATGGATATGGATACGAATAATCCGGAATGATCAATGCCGAGGGTTTTGGTCAATTACCAGCCGGTAGATAGGATCTCGTTATTATCTTCGTAAATAAATGATGTTTTTTGTTAATGAACCTGCAAAATATGTACCAACTGTACTGCACATAAATTCTTGGCCCAAGATATCTTGGCTTATTCAAGTCACATGTTTCGCAAATATGAGATTAGTGAATGTCCACCCAATACAGTTCTTGTAATTACATACAGTTTAACAAATATGATCCATTGATTATAAATAAGAAATTTACACCCCCCTCGTCCTTGTTTCTGGCTGAATTGTTAGCATATAAAACCATCCCACGAATCAATATCTACTCATATATTTGAAACTATGGCTCCCACGCGTAAAAAAAATTGCGTGTCGGCTACAGTAAATAAATGCATTAATTTATGAAATGAAAAAAGAGAAATTAATCAATATCATACTATACATTTATTATTCGTGATTGGCCATTGGTATGTATTACTCTATTGTCAAGGAAAGTCCAACTTAAAGAAGATAGACGAGATTTAATGCGGTGGCATATTCACAATGTCAAGCTTTTACGAGATTCGCCTTAACTGGATTGTAAAAAGGATTTCAATTTTTTTTTTTATGTGTTTCAGATCAATGATAAAATCAAATTGTACCATCAGACGTATGTGGTTCCTGTAATTCCACTAAGAGATTGATAACGTCGCGAAGGGCCTTATTGAGATATGACATATTTCCTGATTAGTGGCTACACCAAATATTTAACCTTACCGTAAGACGAAATTCGTTATGCCTTCAAGGAACTAACATTCAAAATGCCTTTGTTTTTTTAAATTTCTACCCAAATTTTTAAGATAAACTGGATAACTGGATAAATTATATAAATTGGAATAATAAGTTTAGGTGATCCAGAGAGCAAATTAATTTTGAGAATATGAACAAGCTATATAGGCTAAACAGATACTAATGTAATATAGTGTAAAGGTTTATAATTTTCAGCACAGCTATAATGGTTTACCCCTTTTATCCATTGATGAGCTTTCAATCTCATCACTTTGAACTTTACTATCTTTTTGTTAAGTCTTAAGTTTTCAAACAGAAAAGACTATGACACAGCCATCTTATATTTTAAATGCATTGCATATAATTCAAGTTCAAGTTTATTTGGGTATTTGAAGTAAAAGTTTAGTATTTTAGTTATTGCATATATATGCTAAAAATATAGTTTTTGATATGAGTATTTCTAGGTTTATTAAAGGGTTATTCCGCTATTTTGTAAAAACTTTTCATTATCAAAAACGTCGTAAATTATACCTGAAAATATTTCTAAAATATGCTATTTATATCTATGTATCTGAGAGTACTAATTGTTTATTAAGCAGTTAGAACTAGTTTTGGTGCTTGGCTTTATAATGGCTCGACATTGAATAGTTAAAAGCTTTAGAATACGTAAGAGACATAATTTCTCTACATTTAGGCGTTTATTTTACTTATATCCGTACTGTAGTTTGATAACAACCTCCAAAAAGCATAACGAACTTAAAAACCATGCGTAATTTTGAGCTCTGAGCCCACCCGATAACACTAAATTTCGAATCACTTTAAACTTCCCGGTCATACCTATAGAAACACATCTACAACTCGAAAGCTACTGGATCGATCAACTACAGGCTTTGATGCCAACATCCAACACAATAACTAGATAACCCCCTTTGTAACGACCTTGATTCTACAGCTACCAATGTATAATAGTCAAATGCCATTTTTTAAAAACAAATTTCCCCATGTAGATTTTCTCTTTCACGGTTATAGACTTGAACCATTGAACAATGCTCATTTATCCTAAAAGTAGATATTTCTTCATATAAATGTATCATGTTATATCAATAGATTAATCAATTTCTAAGTTAGATTTCGGGGAATATTTATTTCAGGACTGGTGTCATTGCTATATACAGTATACTATATGTTAGAATACGTGTATGTCTGTGTGTGTATCGTTTCAACTAAAATCATACTAATGACCAACTAATTTTCACATAATTAATAAGCTTATGTATTGCTGTGTGACCTAGGCCAGTGCTTTCATTGAGATTCTTCTCAATACACTCTGACAGTTAATTTGCACCTCACTTTAATATCAATCTTTATTCGTGACCTAGGCCAGTGCTCTTGAGACTGTGTTCTCATCAATAACAAAATTCTTTAAGGTTTGGAATTCCCGAGTGGAGAAAGTGCAACGTTGTTTCGACAAACAGAAACTCAATTCGATATTACTGTGCCAAGAAGGCGCTTTAACGTAAATCACGTGTGCTTATTCGCACGTGACTAAGATAAACTCAAAGATTAAAGGGATTGTAAAGAGGTTTTCTAAATTTAAATGTGTGTCGAGGACACTGATCGGATCAATTTGAAACATTTCAATTTTCAATCAGACGTCTGAGGTTCCTGCAATTCCACTTAAACTAAGTGTTTGACGTCATCAAACACTTAGTTTTATTGGAATTGCATTTAGATACCTCTTTACAATCCCTTTAAGTTGTCAGTTTTGACATAAGTAGAACTTTCGATTAACTTGATTTCACCTGTATATCGAACAACTGAAGTAGATATGATCTCTGTATGTTGATTTGTGTTGACTTACAAGTGTCAATATGAACAGGATCAAACACAATTTGTGATTGAAAATCAGGTGGACAAATATTGATTTTACCAGCATTTATTTCATTTCATTTAAAGGCATACTACCTCTTAGGATTATCAAAAAATTAAAATTTTTATACTAAAGTTATGTGTATAAAATATCATTAACATCCCAATGTTTGCAAATACAGAAACCACATAAGAAAAAGTTGGTATTAAATTATCTGGGTCGTTTTTTGTTATTGTTATTGTATTTCGTATGTATGCGTGCTTTGATCGGATATTGGCTTTCAACATGAAATTTGTGGATTTAATATGGTGTAGCAGCAATATACTCCATTTCTACTTCTGTTTTATACTGGTAACAAGCTCCATACCATCTACAATACAAATAATTATATTTGAACTATGAATTATCTGTAACCTTAAGATGATTGCCATTCCATAGGCTGATATAATATTTAACTGCATTTTTCCAAGAATTTATCGATTTTGGCGCCAGTTTTGTCGTTCATCTGGACGTCAACGTTCAGGATAAGTAGTTGGTGTATCGGGGACGCTGATAGCACCATTTAAATTTCAGCCAGACGTCTAAAAAAGTGTTTGATGACGTCACTTATCGCAGAGTATGCCTTAGCATATAAGGCCCTTTGATATTAGTGACGTCATCGAAAACCTAGTTTTTTTGCAGGAACCACGTATGTCTGATTTAAAATTGGAATGTTGCTAATTAATGCTATCAGTGTTGCTGATACACATTAAAAATTAGAAAACCTTTTTACAATCCATTCAAATTCTATACTGAAGTAACGAATGGTGTTCTCATACATAACATGCAAAGAAGATAGACATGGAAGACCCCCAATTGAAGATACACTCATAATTCAAATTTGGTACGGCTTCCGAACTGACTGGGGGATATATTTTGTACAGTCGTTTAACCAAAGAAGAAGAAAGAAGAAACCAAATTTCTTTACTATCCAATGCTGGGGAATATTCGTCGCTCGGCATTTGAATGCTGTAAAGGACAAAATGTGGGAAAATGTTGCTCCTCTGGAAGATACCAAAATAATTATATATACCTATATCTAAAAGAAAACACAATTATTATCATACCTTCGTTTAGCGCATGTTCGAACTGTCTTTCCCGTCTCTTGAATACAATCTACTTTGAGAACATTGAAAAACACAGACCCAACACTATCGGCAGTCTCTTCGCCTTCAACTTTCTTCAAACAACTGTAAAACTCACCATCACAAGAACAGTGACCTCTGTAAGACAATGATAGTTGATTAGAATTAGATTAGAATTTGTGTTTATACATTTCCTGCTGTTTTCTAAATTTAATACATGCACATCGGATTTGAAAGGCCACAGCCTTAAAGGAATTGTAAAGAAGTTTTCATAAAGTTTGATGTGTATCGGGGACACTGATATTATCACTTAGTACCACTCGAAGCTTTCCATGAAATACGACACTAGCCAAAGGATTTTCATCAGTGTGTTATTTTTGGTGGTTCAGGTGAAAAAAGCCATTAAGTACTAACTGAAAAATGTCGTAATTGTTAGGAACAACCAATCGGCAACGTGTGCCTAAATCAGTATGCTGGTCATTTCAGACTAGGGGTTTTCGGCAGCAAATTATTGATATCCAAAGATTAATGCTACTTGCAGCCGAGGACCCCAGGCCAAGTGCTGTGAGGTTACTGGAGGTGGTAGATAAAATATTGACTTACTTGTACCAAAATGCAAAATTAGTCAAACCATACTGTGAGGACAAGGGAGCTATGGATGGAGCTGCACAATTATCATGAGCCCTACAACATTTATCAGTTTCAACTTGTTCTCCTAAGTCATCGAAATTTGCTGCTGTATTTCCAGTTCCGCACCATTTTGTACCTATAATACATATGTCAGTTCCTATTCTAACCTGTGTGAATATGAGTCATTGATAATAAAGTACACATAGGTTATACAAGTATGCCGCTCAGTATGCGCATAATTGCACTAACCTGTTACTGTTATTATATCAGTAAAAAAATATTGAAGCTGAAAACAAGTTATATCAAATGTGTAAATACGTTGGTCCCTTTAGGACATATTTAATGTAAAATATAAAGAATAGAAATTAAAAATCTGACACATGCGGACGGGGAGACGAAAATGAAATGAAATTAATTTTACGTTCTACCTTTCTGCAGATGATCGGGCTAACGAGGACAGACAACCAGTAATGTGCAATGAAGAACATTTTGGCAGGACAGCTGCATTCTAGTATGTTTGGGTTACCATCTAGTGATCTGTTTATTGTCTCATCTGAACCACTTTCTTCCATGACAGCCCCTGCGATCTGCATCATTGACAGTTTAGCGAGCAAGAGTCTAACACACTGAACCACTGTGGTTCCACCTATTAGACTAGCCAATCCTAACATCCTTACCTGGGTAAACTACAAACCGCTTCTTTCTAACAATATTTTGATGATGTTCTTCAGCTGATACATTTTTGTTCTGCTCTTGGCATTCCAGCATCTTTGAGTTCATTTCCTCAGAGGTGAGAATATGCACGGGGATTGAAGGATTCTCCATTATCTGTTGTATATAATCTCTGAAATTAGAACAAGAGAGTTTGCTACTCTCGAACATCTTAAATTCCAGTCTAGGAGCAATTCTGAACGCTGCCAAGAAGTACTACTAATAGCCCTGTCACCCCGGACTGCGACAATTAGCGATATTACAGAGACATGAAATGGATTATTCGCGGTCAAACTTGAAAATTAGAGAAAAAGTTGTATTCTATTTAGTCATTTTGATGGAAGAATGTTATGGAATGAATACAATGTTTTATTGTTTTTCTGCTTCAGATAGCCTTTTGAACACATTTCCACCGTGTGCCACTTTTGAATTTGTTCCATAAGAAAATCCCCAAGGGTGCCAAAGTGGAATCCGGCTGAAAGGTGTTCTGAAGCAGAGAAAAAAATAGAACATTGTATGTACTCCAAAACAGCGCTCTGCCACTGGACTAACTGCGCTTTAATTTTATACCTATACCGCTCTTCTTGTAAGTGCTGTCCAACAGATTGCCGAACATTGGCATTTATTTTGTTCACAATAAACGCCCTAATTCGGCGAAAAGTAGCGACAATTGGACGATGTCTGGCGTGTCCAACATACCACGATTATGGCGAACTTATGACGCTCAGGGCCAATTTTCCATCGCAGTTGCAGCGCAGTAGAAACGCCTTTCTAGTGTGACGGGGCCATTAGGTCATTATAATCATTTATCTTAGGTTTAATTTAGGTTTTTCACAATTTCATGAAGTTAACATTGTCTGGTTGCAGGCCGTAAAGATATGGAATACAACATATCGATGTCCAAGTGTAAATCGTGGCATGTTGGATCGCGATAAATCGATATCGGTACTAATGGAACCGCAGACCTCAAGTTAACGTCTAAGATGAGTCACCTGACTCCCTCAAATGTCTTGTCTGCGGTCAGAACACTGTCCAATCATCCATAGGCATTAATCTTGCTCAAATAATCTGTACGAACTTTTACACCCAGTCCAATACTATCTTGACAATTACATAATATAACGAACCCCAAGGACCAAGACTGGACCACTAGGTATCTGGCTAATTTCAAAATACATTACCCGTCTCCATGAATAAAACATTTAACTTTGTTGTTGACTGCTTCATATTCAACTGCATGTTTCGAATCAGAGAAAAAATGACTAAGAGTGGAACCTTCCTTAGGTGTACCTTTAACAAAATACAAACTTAAACAAAATATTATAACTTGATACATCTTGTGAGGTTTTATCTAAACTGAACTTTTTGAGGGTAGATCCGCCATTTATATTATTCTAACTCAAATAAAAAAATAATAAAAAAGAATTATAATATTGATGGCCTACGGAAATGCTTAAACTTTTGGTTAATCCGATAAAATCATGGTAACCTGTTTTTTTAAGAGAAAAGAATCGCCCAAGGTTAAATCTTTTATAACATGTATTTAGTCCAAACGTTAAATGGAGAGGATAGACACTTTCAAATATTGCAAAATTACTATTGGCATGAAAAGCAAAAATATTTTATTATATGTATAGCTTCAGGGCAAAAAGCCAAAGCAGTTCTTAGTTCGTAGGCAGACTTGATTTTTCGGTAGAGGAAGTAATCAAGAGGGGCAATGGTGTATGATGCTTATTTGCAGTAATGGAATTGGTCGGAATTTGTTCTGGCAAACAACGTTGCTAAGCATGCTGAAGAGCTCTCGAAGTAAAATTTGAAAAAAAAGCTCCTTCGATCATGTTCTTCGAACCCTCCACGATACTACACTTAAGGACGCGTGACATTGAAAGTTAAAGATACGGATAGTTTCTTATAGCATTATTCTATTGAATTATTGCCTGGAATTTAGATCAGAAAGGACGTAAGATGGAGAGTGTTTCACTCAACATTATAATATTATATTGATTCATAATGGTGACCAAAATAAATGTATGGAAATGGTCTGCTATGTCCCAGTCTTAACATAGGGCCGGTACATTGTGTACTAAAATGTGTCTTTAGCAAATCTCCAGTAATGTTCTTCAATTAGCATGTCCATGCTTAACTTGCCAAATTTTGATACAGTCTTGTATCGTTTGGCTATTTCAAGCAATTATTAATTGAAAATACTTTTGTGTCAAATTGATATGATTTCGACAAGAACAAGATTGCAGCATTGTTGTCAGAAATATCATGGCCTTTGGTTTTGTATAAAATCTTACTGCACATTTTATTCAAATAATAATAACACATTTTTAGAAAGGAATGTAGACTTTAATGTTCACGTAGTACAAGCTTGGTATTGGTCATCAAAATATACAAATATAAAACTGGAAATTGCAGCTTTAAATATACTGTTTATATATCAAATCAAATTTATCATATATTTCATTTACATAGTGGAACAGTACTCATCAAAGGAGATTTTTGATGATATTTGTTGAGCTTTTAAGGATAATAATAAGCTTAATAGATATTTTTAATCATCAGCAGACATGTATTCATATATAACCCCTCAAGGTCAAGGTCAAAGGAAGGCATCAAAATACATTATTTATAACAAAGCTAAAAATCAAATTGCATGTCTCAGAATTTATTTAACATTCAACAAATTTGGAAGCTGTCTGTTATTCCTGCTAGTAACAGGAACTGATATTGCTCTTAACATTATTAACAAGTTATACATAGAACTCTTTATTGGAACCAAAGTACTATTGGAATGAAAAATTCACTGAAGGTATGAAATTCCAAGTATCACAGAAGTTTTAAAGGCAAGTTAACCACAAAAAAAAATTATAAAAATTGTTAACCTTGTAACAATTTGGTGTCAATCGTTCTCTTAGCTATACTCCATTTTGAAGCAAATTTAAAAACAACTGAGAAACAGCTCTGATAGTCTAACACTCACATATTAAGTTTTATATGTTGACATTTCATATGCACTTCTTTCCAAATAAATCTCAACCAAAAACCTGAAAGTTGTACCTATTGTATATTTTTCCAAAGAAGGTTCTTCGCTTCTAAGACTTATCATTTCTATTTTGAAGCCAATATTGTAATTCACATAGAAGTAATTGGTAAAATTTGATTTACCAAAGAAAACAGTAAATTCCTAGAATCTTTATGGAATTATTCAGTTACCATTTTTATACATATATTCTAATGTCTATTTAGGAAAATACAAGATATATTTTAAAATGCATAATCAATTCTAAATACTTGTATAAATCACAGATTGGTTAAATCAAAAATACTGATTTAATTTACAAATAATAACAAATATTTACAATAAACAATATAATACTGACATTATATAATCACAATAACTTTTGATTGGTCTTTATAATATAAAATGTTTTGATTTGATTTTAACAAGAAAAATAACATTAATAACATTTTCATAAACATGAATAAAAATAACAATTAAATGGGAAAAAACAAACTTATAAAGTACCCTTGAGCCAAAAATATTTTAAAATACTTATAAATTTTACTAATCATCTGCAAAGTTTTTTATTTATATTTTTGATATAATACTGTTTACAATCAGGTAACATTACAAGGAATTGGGTTATTTTCAAGAAAAAAACTTGATGCTTTTATCATCTTTACAATGTCAAGCTATTACGAAATATATCTTATACCTTGACATCATTAGGCACTTTCTTGTATCAGTGAAATTTGTTAATGCAGTGATTTGATTGGATTTTACGCTGGAAAATGCAACCAAGCAAAGCCTTAGACAGAAAGACTGTAAACAATGTGACTGCGTGTGTAATTTAAGGCTCTGATCGGCTGTATTAGCTAAATTACAATCCAATCAAATCACTGCATTTCATCTAAAAGGAGTGTTATTATTGATCTCAATGTATGAGAAATTTTTTATTTAAACCTACTCTCTTACTAATCTACTAGAGTATCTAGAAATTCATCTACAGTATATTTTAAAAGTTCTATCTAGTCATCCATTCTCAATGCTCAACTACATAACAGTTCATTGCACAAAACCAATTAAAAAACCATGTACAAAATTTAAACTCTAATCTAATATCTGAACCTAGGTAACAGCTAGTTCATTGCACAAAACCAATTTCAAAACAGCATGAATTTTAAAAAAAAAAAATCAGAATTCCATATCCTGGGCTCTGGTTCAAAGAATCTGAACCAATATTACAGTTCATTGCACCAAATCAATTCTAAAACCTACTTTGTAATTTCAATATCTACCTATAAGATAACCTACATAACAGTTCATAGCTAAAAATTCAATTTCAATATCTAGATTGTAAAAATCAACTTCAAACAACTTTAAAATCTACTTCAAAAAATCTTTAATAAAACCCAAATC